GTCCCTGTTCTAAAAAAAAAATAAAATAAAATATGTACAATTAACCATTAGGCTATTCTGCTTTTTCTGCCCCACTTACTCTTCATTCTCTCTCATTTCCAACTTGCTTTTTATTTTAATATCTTTCTTCTCTTTTTTTCTTTTCTTCATCCTCTTTCTTCTCCTCTTGCTTTGTTCTCTTGCTCTTGGAATCTACCTTTCTCCCCCTTGGCCAAGCATACATTGAATATCAATGTCAAAAAATAAAATAAAGACCTCAAGGGTTATGAATTATCTGTCCTATTTTAATAATTAAAGATGAATACACAGGGCCAAGGCAGCTTAGGCGTTTCTCTGAACAATCACATTATATCAGAAATGTCTTGCATTGCCCCTAGTGAAATACATCAAAGAAGCTCCTACCCCTGTATATACAGCAGTTGTCCTAGTCCTGCCCCGAGACCATTTGGCAGCCAGTCAACCTGGGTTTGATTGGGGACTATATATTTAGTTTCAATGGATAGGATTTGATGGGTTTTGATAATTTGCAACTTCCAGCTAAAGAAAAGCAGCTTATTATTAAATGCAAATAAAATGAAGTCCAGCTGTCTGGATGCAGATAGCAATTACAAAAAGCTCATGAGGCCCTCTGGACATCTTAACTCATCCAAAGAACATGGTCAGAGACCAAAACCCATGCTTCAGATGAGCTGCAGCCAGCATAATCTCACAAGAGTGGTACAGGTGACTTCAGGAAGCACAGGCTAAAAAGAAGACTGGGAGAACTGAGCGATAGAGAGAAAGGGATGACAAAAGGCTTGTTACTTGAAGAAAAGGGCTGCCTAGTTTTTAAGAGCACCCCAATTTCATTTAAAACAAGAACTATGCCCTGTTGCACAGAACTACTGGGTTAAATCAGAGAATGAGGAGAGTGACAGGACTTGCCACCTCCAACTTCTCAAAGTGCGAGTGTAACAGAAAGAAAGGAAGGAAAAGACTTACTATGAACTTTCACTCCCTTAGGGAAGAGACAGAAGCAGTGACTACATGCCCTGGCAGAAGCAGAAGTTGTTTCAGGAAAAAAAGAAGAAATACAAAAGGAAGAATACTTCTAACCTCTCAATTACACATGGGCCAGCCAGAATTTTTACCCACAGAGAGGGCCAAAGGAGACCTTCAAAACTCTGCTCTTTGGCTGGAGATAAGTGCCACATGTCCCAGTGGTGTCAGGCAATGTTGTATCTAATAACCTGACAGCAAGGGCTACAGGCTGCAACCAATAGTGAAAGGCACTGAGTCTAAAGCGAAGAAAGTGGTGTTCTCCTTTTTTCCTAATCCTTCCCTCCAGAAAGGCATTCATTTGCCTCCTGCAAAACTCATGCTAACCCAGCAGCAGAGCCTGTGACACAGATGATGGGCCAGGCCTTATGGGCTGCTTGGAAAACATGAGGGGTTGCAAGTCATGCTCAGCTCTCCCCTTGCTACCTCTGTCTCCCTCTCTGACATGAGATCAGAAGCCATTTCACAGCCTCTGCACCTTTTTGTTACGTGACATGTAATAAAAAGAGGAATGGTTATGTTTCACTAGCATTGCCAGAGGTGAAGAATACTTTGGATGTAAAATTCAGTTCACGCTGAGCAAGGGAGACTTTCATTTTGCCCTAACTCCAACAGCTTTGTTACCAAGCACTGATGCTGTATTTGTGTTAGCTTCTCTTGTGTCATTATTTTTTAGAGGAGAAGCAGCAGATCAGGCATCCGACTTGTTTGGTTTAATTCATCCAAATACCTTAAATGTGTGCAATGGTCTGGGTCATTTCCTTCTCAGTCCAAACAAGCTTTATCCATTATTTCCTTCTGATTACACAAACCAAAAGCAGGACTGAAACTGCCCTGATGTTCAAAGCCCCAAATCCAAACCTGCTTCACAAGCTGTTCCCTCAACTCCACGCAGAGGAGTTCAAGGAAACAAGTGCTTGTACCTTCTTCTGTTTTTCTGTCACTCTCAGCAGGAGACAGCAGAAAAGTAGGACACAGACCAGTGGGACCCCAGGGGAGTGGGTGAGGTTGTCAGTGCTCAGCAGCAACTTTCCCAATTTCAGATCCTCCAGCTGTGTGGCTGTGATGGCTCCTGCCCCCCTCCTGAAAGGCTCAGCTGCGGCAGAGTCCTGACAGCCACACAGATTCCCACCCACTGCACCTTCCCATCCAAGCAGGGCTGCTGGGGTAATGGAGTGTTTGTGCATCTGGTTCAGCCCTTGCAGACCCCATCCCTAGCAATGATGAAGGGAAAAAAAAAAAAAAGTTTTCATGGGGTGACATAAAACAAATGAATTTTTCTTCAATAAATCATTTTAGAGAGACTATTGACTCTAGGACCTTTGAATGCATCGACCCATTCATAAAAATCTCATCTTCTCTTGGTACCTTGTACACTTTCCTTCCTTTCCCCTGTCACAACCACTACACTTCATTTTCTTTTCCTTTCTTTTGCTGTTTTATTCCTCTCCTTTTTTTTTCCATTTTGACCCCGTAATCCTATCTTAACCTTCTAATCCTCTCTGCAGTTCCCTCTTCTTCCCTGATCTCAGCTCCATATCATTCACAGGCTGCTACACTGACAGGAGAGAAAGAACAGCAGATATTTACTGAAGTATTACCATAAAGATTAAAGCTAGCAAATACCAGGACTCACTCCTTCCCTCCAGCCCTTGGCCTAATGAAAACACTCTGCACTCTTTCCCTTTTCTTGGAAACAAAATGACAAAGCCCTATAATCTCTAAGGTGAAAGTAAAAAGAGGGCCCAAAAAGTGATTAAAAGGATAGAAAAGCTAGCAGAAAGGGAAATAGAAGTGAGAATAATATTATTTGGCAGTTCTATAGGACCTGACTGACGATATTATGTCGACCTGCAGCATTTTGTGCTTTCCATGTGTTCCCTTTCTGCCTGTATTCACCTCTTATCCCCAATGCTTGGAGCATAAGCCCCCTGAAGGAGGATTCTCCTTTTTGTTCTGTGTGCTCAGGACCCAGCAAAAAGGGATACAGATGCACAGCCCTGGCCACAGCAGGTATCAGCAGAGCTCAAGGCACTTCACAAGGGACGTAGCTATCAACCCCAGGCTGCCAAGAGCACAACAAAAGCCCAGCAAGATGGGGTGACTCATGCATGGTTAGGGAAGGGGCACTACCTGGAGGAAAACTCGGACAACCTGAGTGCTGTCTGTGCCCCAGCTTTGCTGTATCCAGGACATCAACACAAGATGATGAGGGGAGACCACCAGAATGAGAGAGGGGAAAGTAAATGAGGATGCTGGATAAATGAGGAGAGAAAAATGAAAAATGAATGAGAAAGGAGAGGTGTAAAAAAAAAAAAGAAAGAAAAAAAGAAGTAAAACCAAAGAAAACTGAGGATGAAAGGGAAAAAATAAAAAAATAATAATAAAAAAGAAAAAGTAGAAAAGAGTGAGTTGAGATGCATAGGGCCAGAGAGTGAGGAAGAACTTGTCCAGAACATGGAAACAGACAGCTTGGAGCAGGAGGAGGGAAAGATATTTGTGACAGCAGGGATACATTGTCTAGTCCTCTTTGAGGATCAGCCTTTTCAAAATAAACTGGAATACTGTGGCACTATAAACCAGGTAACTATGTCTAGGCAGGACAGACATATGCATGAAGATCAGCTCTCTCCCTCACTTTGACATATTCATCCTCCTCTTGTTTCCCCATCAGTCCAGACACAAGTGCAGAAACGAGGGGCACCATGCTGTGGTACCAGGAGGTACCACACATGAGGTACCATGCAATAAACCATGCACAGGATGTACTGGCAGAACAAATGCACCTGAGTCCTGCTATGCACAGAGCTTTATTAGAGAAGTAAAATGACAAGAACTGCACAGAAGATAAACCTGCACACAGAAGCTCAGCTCTGACCAATTCAAAGCAACTGGTCCTGACCAGTTTGCAAAAAGTCTTTTCTGTGCAATAACAAGCAAACCCTGCTTAAAAAAACAACCAACCAACCAAACAGCAGCAAACAAAACCAAAACCCCAAACCTGACCTGCCTATCTTTTCACAGATCTAGCGAACTCAAACAATTAGAAAGAGGAGCTTGACATAACATTGTCTTTCCTCACATATAAAGTTCATAACAGTGTTATTCCTGCTGGACTCCACAGTCCAAAGAAAGGAGCTATCTATTCATGGCAGACTGATGAGTAAACAGGTGCATGTCACCCTCTCACTGTGCAGTGAGAACTATGCACTTGCCCGGACTGCTTCCATCAAAAAAATCCCAAAGCACTTGATGAATAGTCCATTAAAGCCTGGCAGCACCTTTGGGAGATGGAGGAGGAACAATGAGCGATCACTTCAGTCATCACAGAAGGGCATCTCCCTTTAGACATGAAAAGCAGAGCTTGTTAGCAGTGCACAGATGCACCACAAGACAATTTAAGGAAGCAGGAAAACCTCTTGCAGTTAAAAGTACAGAGGCAGTTAAGTAGCTAACCTAAAGTAAAATTTGGCCATAAGACAATAAAGCGACCCTGCTTTTACCAAGCATTACTTAACACCTCTCATTAACAGAGGTCAAAGCTCTTTTCGAAAGTGTTAGGTATTTTTATCCCTATCATATAGTTAGTAAATAAGGGAAGGGAATACAAGGAAGGGGAAATGGTGTGCCAAAGTCCACACACAGTAAGAAGCAGAGTACAGAACTAACCCAGTTTTCCAGGCTTGCTATCCTATCTAGTATGCCATCTCCCACATTACCTCTGTGCACACTGCATCTGGACACAGCTGCATTTAAAACTTTTCTACTGATGAGGTCAGACTATATGCAGCTAGCTAGGAGATAACCATTCCAGGTTACAAGTCCACAGACCAAGCTTTCAGTGTGTTCTCACTGCAAACCACAGGTTCCCCAGCAATCCTCACCTTCCATTGTGTCACAGGCACAGCATATGCTTAACAAATGTCTGTGACCACCACACCACCGCTTCCAAACCTCTTGGTTAAAGACTATTGTAAAGAGCAGAACCTGACCCAAGCACTGCTCAGGCTTTGCTCTCCAGGATGCTCCAATGCAAACTGCTTTAGTGCTCAGAGGCAGCAGCACAAACCAACTTCCTCAGCTTATAATGCTTTGCTTTCTGGGAACAAGGCGGGAGCACTTCTAGGAGGACCTGTCATCCTTCTAGGATGTCATTTCCCAGAGATGAGGAGGATCCCAACCGGTTTTGTGTTTCAATGGCAGTGGCACAGAAGGGATCCTGCTACTGCAGTCTCTTGGACAAAGCTGGAGTGTACTTGTGAGTAATCAAAATTTGTTGGCCCATTATGTCCATGCCAGATAGTCAGATAAAAAAGGACTGCCTGACAGAGCTGCACTTTGTGTCAGACAGACTTTGTTGGGCAGGCTCCAAGGTGCTTCTCCTCCCTACTGTTTAATTACTGTGAAGAGAGGTTTTAGCAGAGAGAGATGCTATTTGAGACAAGGCTGGTTAGAGAGATAGCCAGGTCCTTGGAGTTAGTAATTAATTACCAGCATTCTCAGTCTTACGACATTAACTGCTTACCCTTTTAAATAGTAGTAAATTGGAGATACGTGTCTAATTAGAGTTGTAAAATGCTTTAGAGGATTCAACAGAGAGAGAGCTTACAGAGATGGAGTGGGAGGCAAAGTGCTCTCTTGGAGGAAAGGAGATGTGGGAAGGAGATGATATGAAAGGCTGTTTTAGTTTGTAATGTACCAAAGTCCTGGTTATCTGAAGGGACTTCCAGCTCTGCCAGGCTCCACAGGTGCATGCTCCCAGAAGAGGGGAAGCAGACAGAGTCCTGGATGTGCACAGGGTTGATTATTTTTCCTAGAAGGTCTCAGACCTTGAGCTCTGCCACTACTATGAATCTAGTAGTTACTGTATTTCACATCCTAAGGGCAGTCATATCCTCATCCACTCCAAAGATTTCAGCAAGTACATACCAACGGGCTGTACTGAACACACACTAGGTTGGTATTACTTTTAGGAGGTCAAAAACTCTAGGGGCTTTCACTAAAGAGACAGGTCTGGATTTACTGCTCTTCAGAAATACACACTTAGAGTATCAACTGTCTCCACCTGCCCCTTAATTTAAATAGGGGAAAAATAATAGAAAGTAAGCTATTCACTGCTGGATTTCTGTTGAGTATCATGTGATCTCAGTCTCTGCTACCAGCAACTTATTAGAGTGTATTTCAGGTCAAAACCACACCAAGCACTGTATTTTCTGCAAATGCTTTTCACTCGCACATTTGTACTCTCCAGCAGGCTCTCCTGGGAGCTGAGGTCAGTCACATGGTTCAAGAAGTTTGTTACAAAGCAGAAGGACTTCTTGTTTCATAGGAAATAACATAGCTCAAATAAAGTACAACTGAAATACTCATTGTGGTCTACTATGTATGTAGTCAAGTAACAAGCAGATGCAAAAGAGTTGGCTTTAATGTATTAAACATTCCTCCTTTTCTAGCTCTGATTTTTAAAGTTACATCTCCATTCACCAGCATCCATGCCTATTTCTCCCCTCCTGAATACTTTTCCCCCCTACTTCCTCACATGTAAAAAATAATCTAATGACCTTTGAAAGATGCTGGCGAGAGTTTTATTCCAATGGTGTGCAGAGTGGCAGACTTCTGGGGATGTTTCGTGTTTTGGTGCAGCAGGAGGATTGGTTTCACAATGGCTTTTGCCAGATGGCTTTGGGTTGCCTCTACTTAAAGACACTACTTAGTGTCTTCCATCTTCATGGGACTAACTATTGGAGACAGCAAATTCCTTGGGAAAAATCTTTTGTATTAGAAGATTATAGACAAAAAGATGAGATATAATCAAAGCTTGACACTTTTCAAAGGCACGAAGTGCAATGACTGTCTCAATGTCTGAATTCTGATCAGTTTAATTACAATCTGCCTTCCAAAACAGTCCCTGCAGTTCAAACTGGATGCTTTCTTCTTCTTTTCTTGTCTTGAACCCGCTGTCATTTGCTGTTTAATACTTACAGGGTTCCACCTCAGAAGAGATTGTGCTTGGCTGATGAGCAGAGCACAGCAACCTCTCCACAGGAATATTCTTACACCATTACCAGAGGTGACACCTCACCTCAAAGATTCCAGGGAAGGCAATAAGACTGCTTAAAGAAACAGTTAATTTTAAAGAAAAAAAAATAAAAATAAAGGTGGAGAGCTCCATAAAACAAGAGCTCAAATGAGCAGTGCATCAACTCAGTTTACAAACAAGTGAGAGAAAGGCATTCTGCTGGGCTATACCCTGTCTCAGGTAGAAGCACTGACCAAGCACACAATGTCAGGCGATGCACATTCTGGAAGGAATTATCTGAGTTACCTTGTTGGCTTCTAAATTAACCACGGTCATTCAGAAATTAAGATTAATGCATGGCAAACTCATCAAAACCCTCTGTTCATAATGGACAAGAACCCAAACAGAATGCACTGAGACAAAGAGGAAAAAATGAGGCTAAGTGCAGTACTGTACTGCAATACAATGTCCCATATCAGGTTATCTTATCTGCAAAAGATGCAATAGAAATAAAAAGAGTTCAGGGACAGGTGACAGCAATGACTTAGAGACCTCACAAAATATCTGTAAGAGGGGAGATTGAAAACACTGGAGCTTTTTGCCTCAAAGAGGAAACAAAGCAAGCTGGATAGTGAAGGATATATCAAATAATGAAGAATACAGCAGAGGAAAACACAGTGATAAAGGTATGGAGCATCCCTTACAACAAACACTACCCATGTAAGGCTGGATAGGATTTGCTGCTTACCTATTAAATGCAATAATATGTGTATTTCACTGCCACAAGGTAACTAACACCCAGGTCAAACTCTATCCCAAACAGCAGTACATTACAGGATACCAATGGTCACTTGATACATGATGGGAAAATTCCTGCTCATGACCCCTTCCCACCAACCCCCATGATATCAATCCTCTTTCTTCAGACTGCAAGCAGGAAACGATCTGTCCAGGTCACAAAAATTTCTCCTATCAGCAGGTTATTTCTATGATTCTGCATATTTCCCAACTTTGGAGGTTTTTGTATTTTCTTATATAATGCAAATTTATAAATGCAAGAAACTGATGTAAAAAGGTTCTGCTATCATCTGCTGTTTCTTAAATTCTTTTGTTTGGGGGGAAATTCATACATGCTAAACAAGAGTCTGTTTGAAAGGCACTCTCTCTTAAGGACTTTTAAGTGTTCAAGCAAGAGAGGATAAATGTTCATCCTATGTTTTAATGAGTTTATGGAGGACCTGAAAAGAAACTTCCCTTTCAGATGGCTTGTGTCCCAGCAGCTGAAAATTCCCCCCTTTATCAAGTCACCCCTAGTGACTCTGTGACCTCCACAAAATGCTGCATCTGGCATTCCCTGACCAATCAAGGAGTGCACTTTCTCAGTAAACTTCTAGGGAACAGACAGCTTGTTTCAATAGATTTATAGTATCAGCCCCTGAAAGGACCTGCCACCTACGTAGCTCCAAGATTTACAGGGCTGTCATTTCCTATGACCCCATCTAGATCTTCCCAGCAGAGCTGTGTGAGCTGTTACACACTTTGTAACCACCTTTTTAGAAACCCTGCTTTGCTCCTTTCCAAAAAAAAAAAGTGAATAAGCACATCAAAACCCAACAAAACACTTTGCACTGCTATGTGTAGGTGTCTCCTCTCAATTTCCTCCCTTCCTTTACAAAAATGCATGAAAGTTGCTTCCTGCTTTATAAAGATGCTCATTCTCTGGACCAGACTCTCCATTTTACTGAGGAGAACACTCAGATGGCAAACACCAGTCACAGATTTCCTTGGGAACGCAAAAGAAGTAGAGTTTTCCCTCCCACAGCTTCATTTCCACTAAACTGGAACTGCCAAGATCTGGCCTTTCTGACCACAACTGAGGAAAGATTATCTCCTGCTTTTGCATTACATTAGGAGACATTAATGTGATATTCTAGTCCAGCAGCCAGTTAGGTAGCACAGCTGTGAACAGGACCTAAAAACTGGGGTTCCAGCCAGCAAAGATTTTGGTCACCTACGTCTGGCCACTAATTTGCTGAGACAAATCTCCTTTTCAAGCCTCAGTTTCCCACACTACAAAATGGGGACAAATAGTTGCTTGTCTCGAAGGGGGAATCAATTAAAATACTCTGAGATTCAGAAATGGCAGGGGTTAGTGAGCTAAATAATCTCAAAGTACTCATATGCCCTGGCACAGATCTCACAACAACTTTTTAAAGCATATTTTTAATAGAGGTTAACATTTTCATTTTCTCTGAGCATATTTTAGTCTCTATCACATAAAGGCAAGGTCTGTGTAAGGCACCAACAAGCAGAATGCACAATCATTAATTTCTGCAAAGCAGCCTTGGTGTCTGTGAAAACACTCCAGGTAACTCAATAAATTAGAATAGTAAACACAAAGGGAACCAGGGAACAAGCAAGGACAGGGCAGAAATCACAGAGACCGACAGCATAATATATGGCACAACAGCAGTCAAAGCTGGGCCTCCATGAGGCACTGGGGAGCCTCTGGGAGGCACATGTGAGGTGGAGGCTATCCAAGGCTTGGTTCCATTCCTTATTACTCCCTGAATGTCCTAGGAGTAATTTTAATTTAAATATCAGTGTGCACACGCTGCCAGGGCCTCTCCCCACGATGCCCACAGGGAGAACTCCAGCTGGGGAGCACAGCGCAGCCCCTGCAGCCACAAACCCACAGCGAAGGAACTTTTGCTGATGCAAACACGAGCCTCAGCAGCAGCAAGCAGTGCCTAAGGCTGAAATGGTGCTGCAGTGGGGGATGTCCGGCTGCTGTCGGGAGGACAGAGCCTGGTGTCAGCTCAGAGATGGAAAGGGCTTCAGCTGCCCAGAGGTGTTAAGCAATACCCTCTGCCGGAGGGCAGGGAGCAGAGGAGAGGGAGGATGAACAAGCCTGCTTCTAAACAGGTTACTTGTGGCTCCTTATGCAACCTGCACTCCTACAGAAGCAAATCAACCCCTGAGGGGAGCAGAGAGAATCTGCAGTGCTGGAAAAGCATATTACTTTCTTGCAGGAAAGTTTTCTTGCTCTTAGCATCCCTTTCTGGTGTTGTACTGGCAGTATCCCCAAGAGTTCTCCTGAACTGGGGCTTCCTACACCAGCTCTGTCCTGGCATCCCTATATCCCTTATGGCTGCTCCAGACCTATTTCTTTCCTCAACACATCAGGTTTATACATGTTAAGTGCTCCTTTCTGCATCTACCCCTATTTCAGTCTCAGGTCTCTTCTGAGCAGAAACTGCCGTTCACAGAAAAATGACGAGGACAGGCAGAAAGAATTAGATTGTGAGGAAAGATTCAGCAAACTCATTCCATTTTCTGCCAGGATCAAGCTCCGAACCCACAGGAAACCTCCAGAGGTACTCTCTGCTGCAAACGTTCTGTGACATTTCAGAGACCTCCCAGTGAGTCCTGGGAGCAGAGCGATGGACTTCTAGGGGAAAGTTCTGTCTTTGCCACGCAAGGAACTGGTGCTATTTATAACATCTCCTGCTGTCCCCAACTGGGCATGAAGACAATCAGCATCTGTCCACACCCTGGGGGAAAGTGCAGAACCAGAGATGTGGTACATGTATCTGTGCAGTGCCTGCTGCTCCAGCATGAAAACAGCAGGGTGGGCAGAGAGGAGCTGTGAAGGGCTCAGCGAGAGCTGGGGAAATGAGGGGCTGGGGAAGGGGGCTGGGGGAAGGAGATGGTACCAAAGGGGATGGGCTTTGCATGCAAGTATCTTGTTACTTGAGATCATACAGATGGTTTCTCTTTAGCTGTGGTTTTGAAAAACCCCCTGCCTACTCTGCTGGAGGCCCTTTCCTGCCAAAGCCAAACCTGGAGCTCCCAGACATAGGAGGAGAGCTCAAAGGTCTCTGAAAACAGAGAGTGCATTATGCTGGGGAGCTGGGAACTGGAACTCTATACAGGTACTCTTGCATGCTTTGTCTGCTTGTTCTGACAGAGCAGAGCCCAGGAGCAGCACTCTGACCTGGTCCTCCTGCCTGGCAACTGGTTTCCCCACAGCCTGCCTCCACCACCCCCCTCTCTCTGCCAGCAGCCCCCTTCCTCCCACCCCACCCTGCACAGCAATCTGCTGACTGTAATTCCTCTGGCTTGAAGAGGGGCCCTGCCTGTTTCCTCCCATTCCTGCTGCTCACATGGAAGCTTCCTCTCCCTTAGTTTCCTCTCTGACACATCCAGATTCCCTGCAAGGAAAAATCCCCATGTTGCAAAGCCTTTCTGGGGCATGGGTCTCCTGTTTCTCTCCCCTGTGCCAGCAGCAGCACACACATTTGTTTCCTTGCTCCATTAAGCCAGTAAATGAGGCTGGCTTAGCTCAGC